AGTCGCATTTTTTGTTGTAAAAATTTTGCACAATTCTCTGTCGAAATAGTATTAGTAATTACGCATTATTAATTTTTTTATACTTTTTTTTTTCACACATCTATTTACCTTTGACTTACAATTTGTTTCCAATATAAATATCTTGTATAATACATTATTTTTAGTAATATGCTTTTTTTTTGTATGCTACATGTTATTTATTTATCATTAATATATATTTACCGTTTTTATTCTTTTAGAAACATCCAAATAAAGTAAATCATTTTCGCCAAAATCCTGCTCAATGGTTAAATAATCTTGCTATGATGAAACAGAAAGGCCATCAGGGAAATGCGAATAATACTTTCCCGACTGAACAACCCCCGGATTTACCAGCATTAGATCCAAATGCTCCACAGTTTTGGAACGAACAACCCAACTTGCGAAACATAAACGGTGGAAATTCCCTCGGTAATACCGAGCCATCACTCGATGATGGAAATCTAGACGTAGTGCCTTGCCTTGTGCCGAATTCACCTGGTAATTCAGGTAATTTTTATTACATTTAATTATTTTAATTCATTATTTATGTGAGATTTAATGCAATGTATATGCTTTTTTTTTATCTCACAGCCAATCCTCAACCCGCTAATAATGCTACCATGGGCCACAGTCCAAATTTGTTAGGTGGCACAACGAGTCCAGGCCCAGGAGGTTTACAACCATCGCTTCAGGGTGTCAAAGTTCCAGACGAAAATTTGACACCGAGACAAAGGCAGCACAGAGAAGTTCAACTAGCGACCTTGCGAAAAATGCAGCTGATGTTGTTTAAGGATGAACAATCTGGCAACCCTTTGGCGGACACGACACAAGGAACGACGGTGTCGTGCTCTACCGCGAATGTTCCTCCTGTTGGTTCCGTACCAAATCAATGTTCTCCATCTATGGATTGGCATAAGTTGCAGCATCAATTTCTCGATGGAAAGAATAAAGTACGTATTCTTTGTGCGTGATAATTTTAACTCAATGTACACAGGATTATGGAATATCTATAACAAAAATATCATTATTACAGGCAACGGTTGGTAATCCGGGCGCGGTACCGTTGCGCGGTGCTAACATGGTCAGTGGGGTACCGCGAAGTCAAGGCCCACCACCTCCGTATCATCAAACGACACGATCTGCCAGTGTACCGATCGCGATTCAAAGTCCAAATCCGTCGTCGCCCAACAATCCGACCAGCAATCTGTCGCTACCGTCACCGCGCGCGAGTTCTGCTTTGAATTCGCCAGCGGATTGTAACAGACAGTTCCAGCTGGGTAATCAGAGGACCAGTCACCTGCCGGGACAAAGTCCGACGAGTCAGGATTCTCCGAATCCGGTTGGCACAGGAACCGTTTCGACGACACGGTTGAATCATAGCAACCCGGGAACACCGGTCTCTCATTCTCATATCGCCGCTCTTAGTCCTAGCGGTACTAATGCTCAAAAGGATACTTCTCTCGATTTTCCTACCAATCAACAACCAAATGGTAAGTGGATCAAAACGGTAAAGGATTGGTACAGATTGGTAAGGATGAGGAGCAGAGGTATGTTTCGTTTTTTTTTTCTTTTTTTTTTCTTTTGTGTAAATTTATTGCTGTGCGCAAAGTTTAACGTTTTTATGAGTTTCATATAATTTCTAAATTTGATTTATTCTTTTGATTTAGTGGATGGTATGTTTTGCCGAACGTTACAATCCTTAGCTCAACAGAAGCAGCAACATCCTGGAAATGCAACGACCGTGAAAGAAGCAAATTTAATGCCAGTGCCGAGCCCCCTTCAACTTCAATATCTTAACACGTTCGAGGGACAAGAATTGACTATTCAGAAACAACCTAATACAAGTCTGAAAGATGGCAATTCGTCTACGTAAGTATCCCCTCCTTCCGTTTCTCTTTTCTATTCTTTCATTAACTTTTGAGCAAAACATAACTTTCTCTTCAGTGTGAGATTATATTTCGATTAATAATCATAATTCGTATAACTATATGATGTGTTTTTTTTTTATTGACAACAGAAACACAGGCAGCTCTTCAGAGATGCCCAACAGAATCATGGCGGGAAATCTAGATAACAATAATCAATTCCCTACTAGATCGGAGGGCGCGAGTCCGGTACAGATGGACAGTATGAACCGAGGCTTTGCGGGTTCCCTGCATAGTCCTCACACGCCGCACACACCGCACACACCGGGTAGCGCTGCGCCGCATACTCCGGTGGATCCCGCGAAACCGGGCAACAAGTCCAGCGCGAGTGCACAGAATAGTCCGACGCCACATAACACCAGTATACCCGACAGTATGGGTCCTCCACGAACGGTGCCGGCATCGCCTACCATGAAACCCGATACATCGCCACCGTGCGTGAAAGACGTTCAGCAGCAGCAACAACAAACGCAATCGCAGCAACAATCGCAACAACAGCAACCTACAGTGAATCCAAATAATTCTGGTAACACAACAGTAGTGTCGTCATTGAGCAGCGGCGGACCCGGCGGTGGACCCGGCGGTGGCGCCTCGTTCGCTTGCGGCAGGCCGTCCATAAACGTGAGTCAACCATCCGACAACGTGCCTCTCAATCCCAACAACATAGTCGGCGGTCGACTCGGCGGCTTAAACACCATGAATACGAATCACTTTGACCCGATAACGTCTCTGGCACAAATGAGCCAGCAACTCACAAACACGGCGGCTAGCAATTCGCTAGGCAATGAACCCATGCATTCTGGCAATGCAGCTGGCATGATGCCGTTCGGCAATCCGCACGCCGCCAGTATGCATATGATGCAGATGGGTGGCGAGATGAACGGTGGTTGCCATATGGGTGCGAACAGCGGCGAACCTGGCGGCGGTGAAGTCGGCGGGATGTGCATGGGTCTTGCAGGACCGCCAACGAGCTACAGCCCCACTACTTCGCATACGGGCAGCCCCGGCGGAATTCCCAGCAAAATGGGAGGACACTCGATGATGGGTGGTCATGGAATGATGGGCGGTCATTCGGGTACCGGCGGCTCGACTGGTGGCGCTTATCCCGGCGGCGATCCCGGCCACGCGCCCCCATCGAGACTGATGACCGGGCCGCATGGAATCGGCGGACCGAGTCCGTATAACGGCGCGAGCGTTCAGGTAAAGCCCAATGCGCCCAACACCATACAGTACTTGCCGGCCAGGCCGAATGTCGGTCACGCACCACCCCGTGGCCCACCAAGTCTAGACTTCCTTCAGCGATTTACCAATCCACTATCCAATATGGAGTCAAAGATGGGTGGGTCGCCTTCCATGAACCTACAGTACTTCCCAAATGGCTGCGTGCCGAACAACATGGGGGGCCCACACAGCGGTATGCCGTCCAGCATGAATGCCACCGGGATCCCCGGTATGGGCGGCTCGCCCAGGATGGACGGTCAGTCCATGAACACTTCCGGCACTATACACCCGTCCATGAGACCGTCGGTCGGCAATATGCGACCGCAGTCGAATCTGATGCGGATGCAGCATATGGTAGGTGGCGGCGTCTTCCCGGGCGGCTCCATGGATCCCGACAAAGTCTTCCCGCCCGACATGGTGTCGCAGAATCTGCCGAATCAACCGAATCCGGCGGGCATGTACGGTGTGTCCGGCAACAAGGGCAGCCCGATGGGACTGGGACCGCCGCCCGAAGCTACTCAGCCATTACCGCCAAGTATGGGTGGCGCGACCGGCAACTTTAAGAACAATCCGTTTGGCAGCGGACCAAGTATGTCCGATCCGAATTATGCTCAACAGTTTCACAACTTCCAGCAACAGCTTTACGCCACTGGTACCAGAGGCAGCGGACCGCCACATCCTAATTTGCATCCGCCGCCAAACTCGCACTCGCATCAGCAGTTTTTCATGCCGAAGTAAAAAAGAAAAAAGAAAAACTGCCCGGTGTTGATTGATCCATATCGCGACGATGACGACGACGATTTTACGGTGGCCTTTCAGAGTGTCCCTCTCTTTTTCTCTCTTTCGCTCTCTTTCTATCTTTCATCTATCAGGGAGATGTTTCTATTATAACCACGCAAATTAATTCTGGAAGTGTAAACTGTGCTATAGATATATAGCAAAACGTTCTTGTAAAGGACAGAGAAAAATAATGATAGTTATCGACGAGCATGGCTGACAGCTATCTTCGAGGATAATCTTCATAATTAGCGTGCGACGAAAATCTAAAGTTCTACTCTTAATTTGTTGTTATGGCGTTATTTACGTATGTATTATGCCAAGTTTTTTTCTTTCTTTTTCTCTCTTTTGACTTGTGGATCACGACACCGAGTCGCATGTCTCTAAGAAAATGTTATTCCGATACATCTTAGTAGTATCGTTTTACACCTAAATTTTCCAGGTCCTATCTGTAAATTGTATAACGGAGACGTGGAGTACTCGCCTACGCGTTCGTGTAAATACCGATGTACAATCCGATGGTTTTTTTTTTACTTTTTCCTTTTTTTTTTTATAAGTCGTTATATTTTGATCGAGGAGCATTGTTAGATTAAGAAATACGTTACTGTAACTAGAATGTAAAAAGAAAAAGAAAGAGAGAGGAAGAAAACAAGCGAGATCTCCTCTCTTTTCTTCGAGTTTCGTTTATAACGGTTTGTTCAGAATAAAATAACAATTGTGCGTACGGTACGACGAGCGAGAGGATTCTGGTACACCGGTGCCGCGTAATTCATCCTTCCTTTATCACTAAAATACTTAAAACACAGTCAAACAAGCTCAAATTTATTATTGTACATATATACCATATACATATTATACATATTATATATATATATATATATTATATATATACACCTGTTGCAACATAATCCTTCAATATCGCCCGTCCCTTACGCTCCCTCATCGATCCTCCCTTATGACCAACTCTGTGCATAATCATGACCCTTTACCTGTTTTCCCCTCCCCTTATCTGTAGCTTACGACATAAGAAGTAATTGACTAAGAACAATTATGTTGTTGATGAATGATTTTTATTATAAATGAAAAATAAAGATATTTACAAGAAGTCAGTACGATATTTGATCGACAATCGTTTTACGATTCAACAACGGCCATCGGAGTTCGCGACAAATCCGCAAAATGTGACTGATTTAAAAAAAGGAAAACCTTTCTAATTTCTCTTTTTCTCGAACAGTAAGCATAGGCTATTTTTTTCTTTCGATTTACTCGAATCTGTGATAGTCAAAGCAAGAGAACGTACTCTCCCTTTCCGTCTCTCTTTAAAAAGAAGATATTTGCTTTGTTTTGGAGAATGATTCTTTAATACTACATTTCACGATTGTGTTTATTTAATCCGAATAAATTTATGCATAGATAAAATATGACGTAAAAAGAGAGAGAGAGAGACACAAGGAGACAAAAGAAGAAAAGTTAGTTAGTTTCTTCCTTCTGGCAGCTTGAGCAATACGAAGCAGAGTGACACATTGACATATTTTACGTTTGTGATAAAAGTAATGGGAATCTTAGAACACTGCGGCGACGGGGCTTGCTCAGAGCGTTAACACCATCTTTTATGTAGGAGTAAGATTTTTTTCTACAACGTCATATTTAGCTTGTAAAACGAGCTCTGTATGTATAATTTTTTCTATAGATTCATGTTGGAATTATCAATCTTGTATTTCATTCTAGCAAAACATACTACTTGCGCCCAAGTACGTCTGTCGTAAATTCTGCTAATCGTCAACAACGGTATACCCGCGCAAATAGAAGACCTAACATTTTGCTTCCCTAGGATCAACAAGAAGTCATGAGCTCAATTATAAATGTAAAGCTTATTGTTAGTCGACTCCTTTGTAATAAGTCACATATTATCGGCCACTTTATATATCCAAAGGTGCGTACTAAATTACTAAATCTTGTTGCGTTGTGTATATTTCTTAGTTGCCAAGAACTGGTTGCGTCTCTTTCGAGTCTCCTGTTAACCTGTAAAACAAAGAGGTCATACATCGAATGAGAAGCGTGTTCGCGCTTCTTAAAAATTTGTTACGTTTAAAATAATCTCTATTCGATGTCTTTACGCGATATATCTAGATATAATCGCAATAAAAGCAAGCTTATACTTTAAGTCTTAAGGATCTGGGACTATACATTATTTAGCAAAACTCATCACACTGTATGCTGTCTGCAACTGATCATCATAATCAATTTTATACCCGAAACCCAAGTCAAACCTGTCCTTCTGTACAGCCTTTCATTGATTGGATGTGCCTGAATCGCGCCGATCATCTCCGTTTCTGTAAAAATAGATTTTATGCCTTATAATTAATTTTTTTTTTTAATTTTAATACAAATCTATATTTAATTTAACATGAGAAAGCATTATGTTATATTCAATGATATTGAAATAACATTCTAAATAATAGATATCTTTTGCATTGCATTACCGCTATTAATTACCTTGACCGTTGCGCTTCCGACGACATGGTACTTCCGTTCGTACTAAAAAAAAAAAAAGAAAAAGAAAAAATAGAAATTTACAGTAATATTTTACACAAAACTAACAATACAACTGCATATTACCTGTTTTTCGCTGGCGCAAAATCATCCCATTCGCTAAGATCATATTTAGATAAATCACCATCTTCTTCTTCTTCTTCATCTTCCTCTTCATCCTCCTGTAATTTATAAAATATTAATTAAACATTCGAAGCATTTTTAATTATCTTTTTTTTTTTTTAAATATAATATATATAATATCTATGTATATGTGTATATATATATATATGTATGTATGTATATACATATATATAAAATGTGCGACAACGATGATTCTGAGGGATCGACCGCTCGTATTTACCAGCGATGTAATTTTTTTTTTTAAATTAAAAGATATTTTTCCCCAAGCTAGCGAATTGCAAAGATCGCAATCTGCAACGTAAATTGAAAAGTGTGAAAGAAGAGGAAGAGAGAGAGAGAAAGATTACCGTAAAACAGGATAAAGTCGACCGAAATATCCTCCCTTTTCTTTTATTTAAATCTACTCTTGGTATTTCAAAAGATTATGAAATGCATTTGCGATGAATAATGCCGATTTATATTTAAAAATAAGAACGTAATACATTTTAAATCTTTTTTTTTTTTATTGAAAGAAAAAAATGAGATTGATTTTAGATGGGCAACACGGATCGATTTTAAATCAGTTTGTGATTTTTATTTGTCATACGATATCACTAATAATAATTAAGATATATTTAATGTATAATTGAGATACTTTGTTTTTCGTATAAAAGTTTAATCGAAAAGCAGTCGATTTAACCAATGTTCTTTCAATTCTTATCAATCAACATTTAACTTAAACTATATATAAATCTATTTAAAAAATGGCATCTATCCATCTAATCTTAAACCAGCTATTTTTTTTTTTTTTAATTAAACAAGTATTCTTCGATAAATTGTCGTTGCATGTCTCTTTAATCGGCATGATTCTCTTAATTTGATATTCGTATTGCAATTGAGATTTTTGAGAAAAAAAATCTGACTTCTGCGATCAGTGTTTCGCGTAAATGCTGGGACTTCTCGACGATCTAAATTAATTTTCAGTATCTTACAATTGTTTATACAGATGTCTGTTATGCAGTCTACAAGTCTCTTTCGTGAAAAAAAGTCTACTCACATTGCTGATATTTCTCTCTCTCTCTCTCTTTCTCTTTAGAAAGTTCACATGCACGATGAAACATTTGGAAGCGAAAACAGCATGTCCGTCAATATACTCGTATTCATCGCTATTGATGAAAATTTACACTTGTTCTACTTGTACACACACGTGGAAACCAAGATTTATCCTTACAGGATCGAGTAAATCAATAGCTTTATAGTTGTACACACCGGTACAGCTTTACTGCAACGAACAGAGCGAAGGCACCTTAAAATATCAAATGTCGTTTAGTATTCAGCACCTATGATTATTTGCTTTTCTTCACCATTACTTTACGAGCGAATTGCTCACGGGAGGTTTGGATTTAATTGTAACAAGAGAATTCTAATATTTTGATTCAAGCCTTGAAAAAGTGTTACAATGTATCCAAGCCTCCTCTCACAGAGGGGGGAGGGGAGGCCTTTGGTTTTAATTTTGGTCCTTTTTTTTCGCGAGGACGCACCGTTCGGTGTTTCTCTTAAGTAATTGTCCGCTCGTTGCCTATCAAATTGATATTTCATATCTTGGCATCCTTTTCTTGTTCGCGCGCGACTCTCTTCCTCCCTTGTGCTCTCTCGTTTGTCAATTTTAAATTCGCCGAAACGACTCGTTTCAAGAGACAATGCTTTACTGTCTGAAAAAAAACAAACTTTAGAAAAGGTCTCTAGGATAGAAAAGTGTCTAAAAAGAAGTCTCTATTTATGCGGGTGAATAGATTCACTTTTGACGATCATCTTATTGGATCATTACTGAGACTTTAGGCACCTACGATTCTATGGAACTAGAATTTACAGCAATTGTACACGCTTGTCATGTGCTCGAAAACGATTCTATCAGTAAATCGTGAATATATCTTCCATACGGAATACTAAATATATCTGTCATCTGTGTACACTTTCGTCGTACGTTATTACCCGGTATAAATATTTTTCTTATCTTCTTTTTTTCCCATTTCACTTCGCTTCGCGAGAAAAGCCGGTAAAAGAATTCGCTCCATATTTACACTGCGCAAACTTATTTATTGAAAAGTCGCATTGTAACAGAAATCTGCAGTCGAAATTATCTTAAAGTAACGTGCTGGTATATAATTGAAAATTATAAATGATTGCAGCGTCAAATATATATATATATATAAATGTAAAATAAAAATAAGACAGCCACGTGTGTTTAAAAGCGGGTTTTCCTGTATAACGAAAGCGTAACATCGACATTTTTATTAGTGTCCCAATATATGAGAATGGAGAATATAACGTATGTCGCTAACACGACCAACTTACAAAATAAAGCATACGGCGAATATAGTCATTACTATATACATCATAACGAAATACGGGAAGATATATAATGAAAAAGAAAGTTCGCTGTCGCAAACGCGAGGCACATTCAATATGTACAACGTGTCCTGTCAAGATTCGTCAGACTGTTTCGCGTGTGTTGTTGTTTTATTTAAAACGATATACTCTCGATTATGTACGGAAATCTACGTCGGCGTTTCTTGGAAATCGGGACTCTGTAGAGAATTATAGATTGACCGGAAACCCGTTCCTGTCGAGCTGAGAAAATATCGTTAACGATCAGTCTGCCGCAATGTTTCACTGTTTCAAATAATTTTCTGTCTGCGAAGGCGAAGAGTTTGTACATCTGTTAACGTATATAAGGTTTTAACGATTCAGCGTAGAAAGAAAGGGAAGAACAATTCTTCGCGATTAAAAGATATCATTTCATGCCCCTCGTGGAAAGAATTATAGGGAGATTGGCGATACCTAGTAACGCCCAGCAACTCTAGCGAGAGAGAGTTAGGGTATCCTTAATGTAATACGTAACTATTATTCGTTAAGATAAACTCTCGAGAGATAATATAAAGGATATCGTCAAGTCACTTTGACTCATCGCGACGATTTTGTATATCAAACATAAAACCATGTGTAGAAGTGTCTTCCTTATCCTACGATCAGTACCTTAATTGTCACATTTATCGTCACACTCAAACGTAAACATACATACACACATACACACGCGCACACAAGATGTCCTATTTCCATTCCTTATGACGTCCTACGTTCTAAGATATAAATATTCGATTATAGCACAAATCTATAATTGCGCTATTAAGAATTGCAAAACGGCCGCGTCGATTGAGAAATGGCGATAAATCTTTCGTAGCATGGACCGAGTTTCATGTTATCGCAGGATGGCCAATGAAAAATCATAAATAATTTACGCATAGAAGAACGCATACATAAATAAGTTAAGCGAGTCTCGTGTGGGATGAGATACGATTCTCTGAAAAGAAAATAATATTTTAATTTATGTACAAGTACACCTCCGTCGTATTAATCGAGATTAATCTTCGCGATCGCGATTTTATACAAATCCTCCTTTTGTTTACGCGATATATCTAGATATAATCGCAATAAAAGCAAGCTTATACTTTAAGTCTTAAGGATCTGGGACTATACATTATTTAGCAAAACTCATCACACTGTATGCTGTCTGCAACTGATCATCATAATCAATTTTATACCCGAAACCCAAGTCAAACCTGTCCTTCTGTACAGCCTTTCATTGATTGGATGTGCCTGAATCGCGCCGATCATCTCCGTTTCTGTAAAAATAGATTTTATGCCTTATAATTAATTTTTTTTTTTAATTTTAATACAAATCTATATTTAATTTAACATGAGAAAGCATTATGTTATATTCAATGATATTGAAATAACATTCTAAATAATAGATATCTTTTGCATTGCATTACCGCTATTAATTACCTTGACCGTTGCGCTTCCGACGACATGGTACTTCCGTTCGTACTAAAAAAAAAAAAAGAAAAAGAAAAAATAGAAATTTACAGTAATATTTTACACAAAACTAACAATACAACTGCATATTACCTGTTTTTCGCTGGCGCAAAATCATCCCATTCGCTAAGATCATATTTAGATAAATCACCATCTTCTTCTTCTTCTTCATCTTCCTCTTCATCCTCCTGTAATTTATAAAATATTAATTAAACATTCGAAGCATTTTTAATTAATGCAATTAAAGAGTGCGATTTATTTATTTATTTATTTTTTTTTTTCGTTTCTCTTCTGATATCACACTTTTCAATCCATATAATTTTCAAGTTACGTTTACGTTAACATTTTCTTCTTGTTCCTCTTCGTCCACTTCATCTTTTTCCTCCTTATCCCTAGATTTACTACGCGACGGGCTGCTGTATTTGGAATCCTTAGAATCGTCGTCAGAATTCTTTTCAAGTTTCCGCTTTTTCTTGCGTCGTCCAAACTCGTCGTATTCATCGTCGTCATCCCGCCTCTCCTTATATTCGACGACTCCTCGATCGTTATATCCACCTCCGTATCCTGTGCGTTCCTCTATCTCGCCGAATTTTGGAGCATTGCACATATTGCACTGCTGCCGGCGAGCCCAATTGACGTTACCGCACTTGCTACATTGCCAATCGTCCGCGCTGCAATAAGGATTTTGTTCTTAATTATCACATACATATGTATAGGGTAAGGCCATTACATTTGTCGTATGACAAACTTTTTAAGCGCATTGATTAGCTATAAAATAGAAAATTTCTAGAGACTCAAGAAATTTTCTATCTTACAGCCAATCAATATGCTTAAAAAATTTGTCGTACGACAAATGTAATATCGATCTAATCTTCGCGCATTAATTGTAAAACAATATATATCCTGTGTTTCTGTGTTATCTATTTTTATATATATCTATATATATAATATTAAAAATTTTTGACGTTTATTCCAGTAGTATGATGTACATACTATTAGAATTTAATAAATATGTTAGTAACATACAGATAAACATGTTGACTTTACTTTCAAAAGATTTGTCCTTAATTTGTCCTTAATTTTTGTCTTGATTCTTACTCTGTTCTTTTATATGTAGCTATTATTTGGATTTACCAACTATGTAACAAACTTATATATTTTTGCACATAAAGAATCCGTTTTTTTGAAACTTATTAATAAGAAATAACTCCAAATAATAACAAATACTAAAGATGGCATTACCTAAAGAGACCTCTACTCTTTTCCGCAGCTGCTTTTCCAATTTCTTGACCCAATTTTTTCTTCTTTGGACATTCACTTCTATCTGTATCAAAAAATTAAATGAAAAATATCTATGCTTTGCATATATGTTAAATAAATCTAATAATACTCCGTCGTATTAATCGAGATTAATCTTCGCGATCGCGATTTTATACAAATCCTCCTTTTGTACACCTCTCTCGTTTGGTCGTCTCATATATTTTATAAATATCTTTTATTTTTAATTCTCTCAGAGCGGGTGGTATGTGTGTGGAACGTCCAGAGTTCTATATTTCTCTCGTAACAAAATAATTTTTGCAATCCTGTATCGGAGAGTGTGTGTATGTGTATATATGTAAATGTATATGTACTTTCTAAATAGTAACTACTTTCTCGTAAACACTTCTCGATTCGAGACTAAGGCGGTGTGTATGTCTGTATATCTGTGTGTGTTTAAATGCACGAGTGTACATACATATGCATATATAATCGCGGAGAAAAAAAAAAGAAAAAAGAAAAAGAAAAAAAAAGGAGGAAAGTAACAAATTCTCTCAATCAGTAAAGGACCTATCTCGTCTTTGGATTGAAACACGGCGATCTCTACTTTGGTAAAAGTACGTTTCCCGTGATATACCTGATGCATAGTTTCTTCTCCGTTTCTCGTCTCTCTCCTCTCTCGCTCCAATTGCAAAGCTCGCACGTTTAGCCGCACCGGATGAGAATTCGTTTAGGCTTCGCACTGGCAGTCGAGTCGAAACATCGATCTCGTCCCGTCGCGTGCAAGATTCGCGCTCCTAACGAGCGGATTGTACTATAATCGTCAAGAATAATTGCAGTAACCTTTTCACGTGTTTGACACAACGGTGTTTTCCGGCAACAAGTCTGTCGTCGTCGTCGTAATCGTCGTCGTGATCGCGCCCGCTGTCACCGTCGTCACGTTTACCATCGTGCTCGACTCGGTAATTTGCGCGGTCGAATACTTTTCTACTACATACAATTTCTTCGGTTCCTTTTGCTCCATGGACGAGCTGGACTTCCTCTTGTGTTTTGAGCTCGAAGAGTGGGAATGATGCAATGTCACAAGTGTTTTTTTTTTTTCTTATTTAAAATATGCAAATAACATTCTACGTTTAGTGTAAACCAATGTTATTATAGCTAAAAAAACAGCTCAAAAAACAATTGAACATAATGGTAGCGTTTCTACTCTGCATATAATTGCATACCTTTTCCACAACGATTGCAGGAATTTCGTCTGGCAAAATTTACATTGGCACATCTATAAAAAGGAAATGAGATAACAAAAATGTCGTTAATTCAATCCCATATATCGATTCCAATTTGTAGTATATAAAATAGTTAGGCGTGATATAAAATCGAGAATCGTCAAGTTATACGTACTGAGAGTCAGGACAGACCCAGTCACCGTCGTTGATGCTACGCTGATTCTCGTCGTCCACTTTACCATCCATCCCGCTGTTTACAATTCGCGTCGATTATACTCCCGGTAGATCCCCTCGCGACTACGACAAGGTCCGTTGCGCTCCGTTTCGTGTCTAACCTTCGAAGCGATCTTGTTCGACGGACACCCCGCTTATCAGTTCTCTACAACGTGCAGGATCGTCGTCGAATTAGCTACGCTTGACGCGCCGTAGCTACAGCATCCTGGACAGGAGCGGATCCGGCCTATCCAACGGAGGAAACTGTGACGAATGGCATTTAGAGACCGCGGTGATTAGCAGCGTAGAGATCGTCCGACTCGGATGAACGCACCGTGATATCTGATGATCGTGCACGCACGAAATACGCAGCAATGCCGACATTCTCTGCCGCGGATTCGCGAATTCCCTACATTTTCCTCCCCCGAGTCCGCGGATATAAAAGTACAATACTTCTATTTTTTTTTTTTTTTTAATTGTCATCCCGGGAAAAATGTAAATAGATAATAGGATTGTAATTTTCTCTCCGACCAATTTCAAGTGGAAAAGACACGAGCATTGTTTATATATTGCATTGCATAACGTGCTATATTGTTGCCGTTGACAGATGGTGATAGGCGGATTTATTTAAGCTTCATTCACAAAGAAATCTATGAACCAGTTTCCAATGATCGAAATATTCTTCAAGAGAGAGAGAAAGATTACCGTAAAACAGGATAAAGTCGACCGAAATATCCTCCCTTTTCTTTTATTTAAATCTACTCTTGGTATTTCAAAAGATTATGAAATGCATTTGTGATGAATAATGCCGATTTATATTTACGTCACAAGTGGGAATGACTCGACTCTGTCTTTGTCGATGTTACTGCTTCCAGACGACCTCTTCTCCCCGTGTCTGTGACTGCAGTGATGGCCACAATGGCATTTCCTCCTCTTCTCCTGTGATTTCTTCTCGTCATCCTTTGAGTTTGAACGTTCGGATTTTTCGGCGATTGGATAATTGTGCGACGACAGTTCGGGAACGCTCGCAGCATCGTCAGATGTTTTAGAGTCGGATTTTATCTGGGGACTCTGATGATGTCGATCATGTTTTCGCTCCCGCCTCTCGTGATCTCTCTTCTTCTTGTGTCTTCTTTCCCTGTAGTCCTTTTCGTCTCTGCACTTGCACTTTGATTTCGAGTGCGACTGACTCTCTTATACAGTTTTGTTGTCATAGGTGTGATGAGACGTTTCCTGGAAAAATGAGAAACGGTTAGAAACGTCAAAGTATAAAATAAAGCATGAAGAGTTGCGAGTAAAGGAGACGAGAGTCAGAAACAAATCCAAAGCTTTGACCAAAGTAATTTATTTTTGTCTCATTAAAAACTTAGACGTGGAATGCGACTTCTACACGTGTGTGTGTGAGACGGGTATAATATGTAAAACTACACGCTACGATATTTATAACTATATATACGCTTTTTTTTATATACGATTCCTCACTGTCAACGCACTATATAAATTTTTGGAATTTTTCAATTTATAAAATCAAAATCGCGTCTTTCGGTTGTCAAATGGTATAATTTTAGAATTATATAACGTGAGAAAATCTTTGCGGTTTTCAATGCAACGATTTTGTCTTTCAAATACATCTCTTTTTCAATAGTCGCACTTTTTGTAATTATTATTTATTACTTCGTTATATCTTGTCCCTTGTATTCTACTCGGATGCGTTTTCGTTCGCATTCCGGTTCTGTTATTTGCATACTGAAAGTCTGGACGTATATTTACAAAATTTACAGAGCGAGTTCAATTCCGCCCGAGCAAATTTCGGTGCAGTGTCATCGCGGTCCGAGAAATGCATTTGTGATGAATAATGCCGATTTATATTTAAAAATAAGAACGTAATACATTTTAAATCTTTTTTTTTTTTATTGAAAGAAAAAAATGAGATTGATTTTAGATGGGCAACACGGATCGATTTTAAATCAGTTTGTGATTTTTATTTGTCATACGATATCACTAATAATAATTAAGATATATTTAATGTATAATTGAGATACTTTGTTTTTCGTATAAAAGTTTAATCGAAAAGCAGTCGATTTAACCAATGTTCTTTCAATTCTTATCAATCAACATTTAACTTAAACTATATATAAATCTATTTAAAAAATGGCATCTATCCATCTAATCTTAAACCAGCTATTTTTTTTTTTTTTAATTAAACAAGTATTCTTCGATAAATTGTCGTTGCATGTCTCTTTAATCGGCATGATTCTCTTAATTTGATATTCGTATTGCAATTGAGATTTTTGAGAAAAAAAATCTGACTTCTGCGATCAGTGTTTCGCGTAAATGCTGGGACTTCTCGACGATCTAAATTAATTTTCAGTATCTTACAATTGTTTATACAGATGTCTGTTATGCAGTCTACAAGTCTCTTTCGTGAAAAAAAGTCTACTCACATTGCTGATATTTCTCTCTCTCTCTCTCTTTCTCTTTAGAAAGTTCACATGCACGATGAAACATTTGGAAGCGAAAACAGCAGGTCCGTCAATATACTCGTATTCATCGCTATTGATGAAAATTTACACTTGTTCTACTTGTACACACACGTGGAAACCAAGATTTATCCTTACAGGATCGAGTAAATCAATAGCTTTATAGTTGTACACACCGGTACAGCTTTACTGCAACGAACAGAGCGAAGGCACCTTAAAATATCAAATGTCGTTTAGTATTCAGCACCTATGATTATTTGCTTTTCTTCACCATTACTTTACGAGCGAATTGCTCACGGGAGGTTTGGATTTAATTGTAACAAGAGAATTCTAATATTTTGATTCAAGCCTTGAAAAAGTGTTACAATGTATCCAAGCCTCCTCTCACAGAGGGGGGAGGGGAGGCCTTTGGTTTTAATTTTGGTCCTTTTTTTTCGCGAGGACGCACCGTTCGGTGTTTCTCTTAAGTAATTGTCCGCTCGTTGCCTATCAAATTGATATTTCATATCTTGGCATCCTTTTCTTGTTCGCGCGCGACTCTCTTCCTCCCTTGTGCTCTCTCGTTTGTCAATTTTAAATTCGCCGAAACGACTCGTTTCAAGAGACAATGCTTTACTGTCTGAAAAAAAACAAACTTTAGAAAAGGTCCTGCTGTTACTGTGTCTATCGTTCTCAGTAGATGGAGACGTAAAGGTCATGATGGAAGGATACGAGGAGATACTAGTTGTCGTCGTCGTCATCGTCGTCGTCGTCGTTGTCTTCGTTAACATCGTTGAATCTTCGCCGCATGGGTTGTCACCAGTGGTCGCAAAATCAGCGATTTTCTCATTTTTCGCTCTTTCCTTTGCTTCGTCCTCCGCCATCTCGATCAGCGCCTTAACGGCATTTTCCGTTGCACATTCCATCTTTGACGTGAACGCCAACACGGTCTTCATTTCTAATAGATGGCAGTATCTTTCCAGTTTCGTGGGATCGTCCTTAAACCACTGTTCGACGATCTCAAAGCTCTCTTTATGAATTTTTTCTAGTACCTCCTTCGATGCTTCCGAAACTTCAGCACGCAGGGATTGGCAAACCTCCTCAACGTCGGTCTTCGATTTGTAGATGGCTATCTCCAGCGCCCTGTCCACCACTTCGGTGGCGTACGTTTTGGCAACGGTCTGCCGCTGTTTTAGTATCTCCTCCTCGAGAACGATTGGACAATCTCCGGTTTCGGAAGTGTCCTCTAACGGAGACAATCCGCTCAGTCGTCTCTTAGCATCCTTCAAGGAAGACGAGCTATCGAATTTCGAAACTGTTCTCGTTTCCGTTACATTAGGAATAGTTTCTTTACTCGATATGCTTTTACTGCTGGATCTCTCATGGTGACTGCAACGATGATCTAGCTTGTGACCGCTGCTATCATATTTCTTCTTCTTACAAGAGTGACAATTATCAGAACTACTGCTGCTGCTGTGCGTGTGATGATTGCTAGATTTGTCACTGCTGCGGCGACGATCCTTATGCTTCTTATCTGATCTCTTCTCGTCCCTCTTGTCGTTACTCTGTTTCTGCTCATTGGTTTCGCTCTTGGATGACTTAGTGCTGCCAAACGGATCCGATGATGCATTGCCGTTACCATCTTCCTTATTCTTTTGTTTAAGTGATGAGTGTTTGGAGTGATGTCGACTCTTGCGATGCTTCCCGTGTTGATCGGATTTCTTCAGATTACCCTGATATTCGGCCGCCCTTTCTTTTGCTTTCTCGAGAGGATCGATCGACAGTTTCTGCTCCAAACGCTGGCGATTCGTGTTCTCCTTTTGTTCATCGCCTATGCCAACGGCTTCCAGAGGTTTTTTCTCTTTGATACGATGAGCGGACTCGTTTATCGCACGACTATGCCTAGTGTTCGAACTATGCTGCGACTCTGGATAATACTGCTTCAATCTAATGTGCCAAGCGATGCTCGAGACGGCCGAGACTGTTCTGAATTGATGGATAATGTTGCGCGGTAGAAAATATATATCATTATCGTAGAGATTTATCTTGGCGTAACGGATACCCTGCCTGCGTAACTGATTCAGCTTCGCATCCTCCACCCACTGCACGCACTGCGATATCGGCGGCTCGTGTAAGTCTAGTTGTAGCTTTTCCACGAGTTCGGTAAAATCACCGGCGTAAAAAGCCACGACGTCCTTCGTGATCCTATTGTATCCGGATGCCTGGCCGCCGTGAACGGCCTTCAACACGCCGACCGCCGCCGTGGTCATCCTGTCCAATCCATGACCAACGTGGTCGGCGTGTGCTTTCGTACGATCCTCGAACATATACTCCCGTGCCTCGCTCAGTCGCGGAAGATATTGCAGATTTCTCAGTTCGTTGATACCCGTCCTGCGTCGTTTGTACGGACTCTTGTTTATGTCGGCCGTTGGTACCAATTGTTCACCTGGTCGAATCCATAGGATAGGGCCATCGTTCGATTCTTGTGGTGTATCCATCTTTACAACGGACAAAGGTCCCCAAGGTATCGTCTAGAATACAAATCGTATTAACAAATAGGTATAGCAAATATGTATGTGTATTTTCAAATATGTTTGTATATTGTGACTTACCATTTTTAAAAACGGATTCTCTTCCAATTTCTGCAGTAGATCTGGAAAATATCCGCCGACTTCCTCGTGAACAGTGCCCACAAGACTTATTTGATGCAACGGTCCATATCTAATGGTACCGTTGCTATAAGCTTTACAAACTTGGTCTTTGTATTGAGCCATTGTGGTGGTTTCTATATCGCTGTTCCTACCCAATACTCCGTTCTTTACAGTTAATGTGGGATAATTATTCGCCATGTAATCCAAAAGATCAGGTAGGTATGCAGCTGCATTGTGTACTATGCCCATAACATGATAAGCATTACCATTTTCGTCTTCCCCGAAAACCACCTAAAAGAGAAATGTAGAAAGATTTCTCATTATAATCATTCACCATGATGCAAAATTGTAACAGCTTGCAGCCAAAACTGCAGTCAAGTTCTTTCTTACTTTACTGTAACAATGAATTGCATTTATACCTTGAAGTACTCTTGCGCCAATTCTTCCATTTGTTCGCGCGATAAACTTTCAATTTCGTCTTGATACATATGGACCACCGTCGCACCGCCATTGGGATAAGTTTCAATGTGAATAAATTTCTTGTACTTTAGGCCTTCCAGCAATTCACTTTTCACCACAGGATTATTAAGCATCTTGTAGTTTTTCGTTTGTAGATTTAACCTCAGGTTCTCGTTGGTCGATTTGGAGAAGGAAAGAGGTTTACCACATAATACATGACGATCCCGTTTGCACTGTACACCAATACTCGCTCTTTTTATCCCTTTGCGTTTTTGACACCGTGAGCAGTGCCGTCTGTCTTCTTTCGAACGTTTCTCCCTCGAGGATGAATAGGTTTTTGAATGTGAACTGGAAGATGAATTAACAGTGGCATTTGTGGACTTGTCTTGAGATGCTGCTGTTGCAGCAGTTACTCTATCTGCCGTTACAGTAATGGAGAAACTATCTTCTAACCATTCGGATTTAACTTTTTCAAGTTCCTGTAACGAGTCTGTTGGTTCCTTCTTAATCTCAATAGATTCTACTTTTAATTCTCTATCTGTGATGTATTTTTCATCAGCGGCATCCCGTTGTTTACTCGATTCCGTTTTCGTGATATCAACTTGCGAGTCGCCTATCTTTCCCGATGGCGATGAGCAAAAAGGATACTCGGTCGTTTCGTCTGTATGCATAGCTATATTATCAGGACTCTCTTCATTATATTTCGCCGTGTCCATAACTGTAGAATTTGCCGACATCATGCTGATAGAGAACGTCGTGTCCGGACTATGAGGATGTGGGCTGACAGAAACTCTTGGAGGATAGTCAGGACTCCTGGGACTGCTGATTACTTCACCATTGCTCTGCGGACTTTCCCCAAGTTGTGGTGTGTTGTTGGAGAAATTCATGCAGCCTTCTAATTTAACCTTTGTAGATAATGCATGCATATTTCCGGATAACATCATGTCGTTGTTACATGCAGAATCAGCCTAAATAGAAAATAATATAGATGATACATATTTTATAATAATTTATAAGATATAGGAATTATTTTATTTATTGGTATGGAGAAAACATATCATGATATAGAATACGGAACAATACACACTAATTTAATACATGAACATGAAATATATTTTATACAAATTGCACAACATATCTAATAGTATCTATTTATTAGTACCTACATGTATAATATGTTGAATCGGTTCTCTGGCAGCTTTTAGTACTACATCATTGTTGCAATGATACTGATTCCCTGCTTCAAATATATATCATTTCATTTAATAAGAATGTACAAGTCAAACTATATGTTACTTTATATTTATTATGTAAGACATAAAGAGAGAGAGAGAGAATTCGCATATATATTTCTAAAAATCTTTTTTTTCGCTTTTTTTATGGAAAAAATTACTTTCTTTTCAGGAATAAAGTAAAATTCAGTTCTTGTTACTTAATTAGTTGCATAAATTAGCAACACTTTTTCAATGCTATTTTATTTTAAAATAAACATGAGAAAAAACAAACGTATAGTATACATTATGATATAAATAGTTAATATTACAAAAGTAGAGCTATAATTAGTTCACTCTTGTAGTAACTCTATTTAGAACAAACGGAATTCACTCTCTTATATATATTAATACTAATACATGCCTACAGATAAAATATCTCATTATTTAGATCTTTTATACATTTAAAATGAATTTAATATAATAAAGAAAGTATATATACTGTAAAACAATACATTTTATGAATATACACATATATATATATTATTCAGAGATAATTTTTTAGTAATTTTATATAGGTTTCCAAATTTAACAAATCTACTTTGATGATTATTCAATCGTTATATCCATAATAGATATACTCTGGATTGACACGTAAAAGTATGTTGACGTAAACTGTGAGGTCACTTGATCAAACGCATTCGAATATATAGAAACGACACCCAGATACTATTGTCAGTTTAAGAAATAATTTGCAAGAACCTGACGCAACAACCGACACGAACGACAACAAATGACACGGAATGCTAATTACCGTCTGTTTCCTCCGGAAGACGAACGCTGCGGTCCAGGTCGGTCCCTGGATGAGACATGCTGCGCCGTTGGCTGGACGTTTCGTTATCGCCCGCTCGCCGTTCACCCACATCACCAGACGAGCTCGCGGGGCCCGAGTCCCTCTGTAACGCGTGCCCTTCCGTGTTCGCGTGAAACGGTGACGCTGCAGGGAAACCCGTGGGCGTCCCGGGCGAATTAGGCGCGGGTTCGCTCGCGCGATTGGCCGTCCTCTCGACGACGCCGAGTTGCCACGTCGTTCCGGACGTCGCGCCGTCCGTTGCCTCGCTCCCAACTAAATTCGTCGCTCGATCGCTCGTATTATTTACATCGCATCCTACGTTTGACACGATACCCGCACCGTCCTCAGATGCCATCTTGGTTCCGTGAGCGACATCCCGGACGCGACGATACTACGCCGTCGCGGATTGGCGGTCGCGCTTGCCGGCGACGACGCGCGCCGATTGTCATTCGTCCGCGCCGACGTTGCCAAGTGGGGGCCGCGCCAGTAGACGCCACGCTTCTATCTTGTACGCGAGACATTTTTATCCACCGGAATCTTCGATCTTCGGAGAACGTACTTTTCCGCCAAACTTTTCGATTCTTACGACGGGCACGATAAAGCCCTGCGCACAATAGAGAAAATATTAATAGGAATAATAAAATATTAAATATCAGGAGGAGCAATTTGGAATTATTTTACTTCCGCACAATAAAGAAAATATTAGGAATAGGAATAAAATATTAAATATCAGGAGGAGTAATTTGGAATTATTTTACTTCAAACAAGGGAACGGAATGGATTAACGCATACTGAAATAAAAAAATAAAAATTAGAAATAATTAATCCATTCCGTTTCCTTGTTTGAAGTAAAATAATTCCAAATTGCTCCACCTGATATTTAATATTCCTATTCCTAATATTTCCTTTATTGTGCGCAGGGCCCTAAGCTCGCGAAGGGGGCGAGCGAGGATTGAAATTCTGCGAGAAAATCGGATGGCAAATCTGTTCGAAATTTTCCTCGTACATATTTTGCAAAATTAATTTGTACAAGTGTACTTTGTAAAATAATGCGGCTTTCGATAACACACTTAGATAAAAATAATATGTAAGAAAATAACCATTTCCTGTAATTTTCTTTTTATCTTACGTTAAATACAATTCCTTTAAAATTATTTCATTGCGTCATAATTTTAAGAAATTTGTAATTAAAATAGTAAGAATGGGCTATTGCAATATATTTTAGCATATGTTGTAAAGCTATACAAAATATTCTCATAATTTGATCCTTAAGGGAGTTTTTCAAATAAACACACTTAAATACAAAATCATATATGATTAGCTGTCAAATAAAAAAGATTTAGAGTCTTTATGTAAGAAAATAATCATTTCCTGTAATTTTTTTATCTTACGCTAAATATAATTCGTGTTTTAAAATTATTTCATCGCCTCATAATTTCAAGAAATTTGCGATTAAAATAGTAAGAATGGGCTATTGCAATATATTTTATCATGTGTTGTAAAGCTATACAACGTATTCTCACGATTTGATCCTTAAGGGAGTTTTCAAAGAAACACACTTAAACATAAAATCATATGATTAGCTGTCAAATAAAATTGTAAAGCTATACAACGTATTCTCACAATTTGATCCTTAAGGGAGTTTTCAAAGAAACACACTTAAATACAAAATCATATGATTAGCTGTCAAATAAAAAAAATTTAGTCTTTAAAAATTCTCTATTTAACAGCCAATTGCGTGTCAACATTGTGTGTATCTGTGTTTTCTTACTGAAAAGCTCCCTAAAATTCACTGTCAAAATACTAATTACTAGCAGTGAATTTCGGAATACGATCCCCGATTTGCGATACAGCCTTTACGCGGCGAGTTCGCCACCTAGATAACGATACGCAATTCGTGGCCGTCACTTGCGCGCCGCGCACTCGGCATCGGTGTGACGAGAGAGTGAACGTATTCGGGAAATAAACAGAGTGCGGCGTGTGTAGTGGTGACAAGAGCGCGCGTCCAACAACCATGTCGTCGCCGAATAAGAAGGCAAAAGAGTTGGAGGATCCCGGCTCGGGCGAGGGAGACGCGCGCGATTACGACATCGAGATACAGAAGACCCTCGAGGAGATCGACGGCTGTCAGAATCAAATCGATGGCCTGAACGAGAAGGCCAGCGACGAGATCCTCGAAGTCGAGAAGAAGTATAACAAGCTGCGTAAACCCTACTTCCAGAAGCGCAACGACATCATCAAGAGGATACCCAACTTTTGGGTCACCGCTGTATCCTTTTCGAATGACGTTTCCGCGAATCCGAGAAATCGCTTTGACGTTTCTCTCGGCGATGCCGGCGTCCGCCGGCAACCGCCGCCATCTTGCCTACTTGTATACGTGCGGAAGCGTGTATAACCGTATTGCGATTATGCGTTTTATAATCACATACGCGTATACATTAATTGTCAGATTAACGTTACCGATATTTCGATAATTACGACGGCGTCCTTGTCGTCGCGATAACACGCGATGATATATCACAGTAGAATTTTTCGATATCGCATAAATTAGTAACACCAACTGTAATCTGTATATGTCGTCGATAATATAATGGATTAAGTGTGTTAAGAATAACAAGGCGGTATTTTATTAATAATTATTATGTTAAATTGATCCAGTAATATATTTTTCCTTATAAGAAATTTAGTTCGTAAACAACAAAGAAATAGCAGAAATATTAGAAGAAGACGAGGAAGATGCACTCAGATTTCTAAACAAATTAGAAGTCGAGGAATTTGAAGATATCAAATCTGGTTATAGAATTAATTTTTACTTCGATGAGAATCCATATTTTGAAAATAATGTTTTAACGAAGGAATTTCACCTAGGATCTTCCGGTGAGCGCATTTTTTGTCAACTTTCCGCCATTATTAATTTATTGTTGTATAGAAATCATAAGTACGCAGTGACTTGGAAAAAGTATAACTTACAGTTTAATAGAGTATCGTAGTTGCGATGAATCTCCTGCTATTTTGCAGGAGATCCAGCATCTCAAAGTACACCCATTCGTTGGAAAGAAGGTGCAGATTTAACGAAGAGAGCAAAAACCAAAGCACCATTGAAAGGGCGCAAAAGGCCACTCAAACACAGATCATTCTTCGACTGGTTCACGGATCATGGAGATCCAAGTTCAGATGAGATAGCTGAATTAATTAAAGATGATATGTGGCCTAATCCATTGCAGGTAAACATTTTTTTACTTTAAACATATATTTTATTTGTTTATATTATAAGATACGAGATATTGTTCCCAATGTATTATTTATCATGATTTCATGGATTTTAGTATTACCTGGCCCCAGATATAGATGTCGAGAATGGTATCGAAGGAGATGGTGAAGAATGTGAAAGCGAAGAAGAGGAGGAAGAGGAGGATGGCGCGGATGATGGTGATGAGGGAGGAGAAGGAGAGGAAGGAGATGACAGTATAGTAGTAGTCGAAGATGATGTGGATGAGGATGATGATGAAGAGGAGGCTGTGAATGATGAAGACGACGGTGTAAATGAAGAGGATGATTTATTGGTAGATGACGAAGTAGATCGCGAAGGTAAAAAATAGTATATTACTGTGCATAATACAATTAATAAAAATAAATGTACTATATAGTACATTTAATATTACATAGAAGTTAATTTAATTGTGTTACAGAAGGGGAAGAACCTGAATAGAGTCGAAATCAGATTTCTAACATCATATTTCACAGTGAAAAGAAAAAAAATGAATGAAATTGTGTGCACCGAATCAACCGAGAGCAAAGAAAGTCTACTGGACTGAAAATATGCCATATGAATAAATCTCAGGACACATTTCTTTTTTTTATAAATATATATATGAAAATAGGAAGGCAGAGAATATTTAGGGAATCTAGATCCTTTCCATTGAGAACCTATGTATAAAAATACAACATTTGTTAAGATATATTGAAAGTGGTTTGAAAGGAAAGGGTCTGGATTAAGTTAGATAGGTTCCACTCTTGCATTAAATCTAATCAGAATGTAACAAATTCTTCCTCAGTTATATTCATATGGCCTAGTCGTCGTTCTCCTATAAAATGTGCGACAGGGAAATATTCGCCTGGTTCTTAATATTGCGGATTCACCGATAAGTTAAGATAAAGTAGAACGAGACACTAGGTGAGGAGTTCCATTTAATTGCTTTCTCGTGAAAATTATTCTTTAGATATGACTTCCTGAGCGAGGTGTCATAAGTAGAATTTTTGAGAGTGACAACTGTATCTTTCGCACATAAAGTACACAAACCTTTACACCACTTATCGTCTTATTATTATTTTTAGATAAAACAAATAATAAAATGACAATTTTATCTTTTGCTATGATCCAATCAACTTATTTTACAAAAAATCATTGTTGCAAATTTATTACTCTAGAAACGACTGTTACAATATTTTATAAATAATTCATGATTGTTACCAATTTACAATCTATTTATATCACTCTTACATACCATTACAAGTTTTATCTCATTTTTATTTTATCCGACTTATTTTTATATGATTTTATATTCTGATAATGTGTATAGTAAAATCTGTAGCAGAGAATTTATAAGTTACACATTACAAATTTGTGCTATTAGTATATAATCTTGATATCACATTACAATGTTGTCTCCAATAAACGAGAATGCATAGAACTTGTATATTCATGTGTTACTACTAAACTTATTATTCAGCCTATATGAGATAGAACTATTTTGTTATTTGTTATTTTAATGTTTAAGTCTGAATATGCAACATTTTTACAAACTAATAACAATATTCGTTTTAATAATAAATGTCGCTGCATTAAATTTTAATGCTTCAAGCATAATTCTTGATAAAAGATTGCAATATATGTAAGATCATCTATTTTACTACTTATGAATTAATGAGAGAATGTACTTTGCATCAAATCCTATTCTCAGCATGAATTTATTGAATTATATAATTATCTCAAAAATTTTATTACATGTGAGTATAATATATATTTATATAATAAAAATATATATGATAGACACAATGGCGTATTTGTCACGCTCAAAAAGATACTTTGATCCTATTTCACCTCGTTCGCGTTCTTCCACACTTCGTGTCACGATTTACTCATCGTCACGTAAAATAAGTGTATTTCGTGAACATTTCTCACATTTGATACATTATGTACTTCTAATGGTGATTTCATTCTATGAGATTATCGTATGTATGACAGAGATATAAGGTCAAGCGTATAAAGTCGCGGCGATGTTCTTTACATCTCCTATAGTCGACGTTACAATAGGGAAGAAAGCGTAATCGATGCAAGTTTGTCGGTTACTATCACACCTATATCAATTAAACTCGCGACTCTCATTCATCACCTTGCATTCTTCGAAGTCTAGGGAGAAACAAGTAATTATTACGTCTCGAATAGAAAGCGTTGGTAGTCTCAATTTGATAAGATAAGCTATAATTGTCTAATTTTAGAGCAAAGTACAACAGCGATTATTTTTAAATTAAGAATACGCGTTGTTTCCCATTCTATGAATACGATTCTGTCAGTATTTATTAGATTAATACGTGTTACCCGCTGACACATGTGTGAAAGAAAGGAAATATTGTCAAAATTATATAGAAATAATAAGACCAATATAAGATTCGTATTTTACCATTAGATCCTTGTGTATTTATGTATTATATTTACTGATACCTATTAATATTAATTCGATTGGTTGTGTCTTGTGTAAAAAAAGCTCCTTCTAGAAATCGACGAGTTGTAATACATTTCTTTTTATCGCGTATTTTCTTTCACGCGCGGAAATATTATCCCGGGAACTGTCCGAATATATGAAAACGATTCTTTTGTCTAATACGAAGCATAAATGTATAAGTGAGGATGAGACGCGAGGGCACGAGTGTAAACCTCTTTCATGTCAGACGGACGTGCTAGTGTGTGTGTTACATAATCGTGCAACAAATCAACCGAATAAAGTTGACAGTTTGAGATACAAACGAGTTTTAATAATCGTCCATTAATGGTATATATGTAAAAGAGTATGCGTGCGAAATAAATTTCACGCTGCGAACGATATTTATAATAACATTGCCGCAGTATTTAATTATAATTATAGAAAGCTTCGGCAATCTTGGAATCGTATTGAATTTTTTTTTTTTCCGGCGATTATAATATCTTAATCTTTTTTAAAGACCTAAAAGTCTTTCGCTCTCTGTTTTTTTACGATATTCTGATAGCGTGGGAGCTGCGACCACAAAACTGTCGGCGCTCGGAAACGCGGAACAGGAAGCGGTCGACCAAATAAACTTTGCTCCGAAACCCTTACGAGGCGCGTCAACCATCCGCCCTTTTTTTCCCCTCGTGAATTATCAAATTGTTCGCTTTTTATGTCAACACGCATGATCACACGCCGTTCCCGTTTGCCTGGCATTCTTATTACAAGCAGACCAAGCACATGCTACTCGTCCTCGTCATTACGGCAAAAAACCGCCACTTCAGGTTCGAAGACGCGGCTGTGTAATAAGAGGCTAACGGCAAACTTGGAGGACGAGGCGTGTGCTTCTGGCGGTGAAACGCGGGATTTTTTTACAATACATGACACTGTAAGCCGGGGTGTTACGCGTGTCACGGTCAGCATCAATAACGCTGTCTTGATAGTGAGTGATGCTCTGTGTCCTGAATAAGGATCTTTAAATGTATAAATTGAGGCGATTATTATAAAACAGTAATTACTACAGACTCATAAATCGATACTTTTGTTATAATATTATTAATATTTACGAATAGAGTCCTGATGTATCCCACAGTACTTCTTTCTCTAATAATCCCTCCGCGATAGTATACATGCTAAAATTTAATAACAAAATTATTCAAAGTTAAGGACGAAAAGTTATACGATTTTTCGGAATTAATAGTTTATAAATAATAATATTACTTACAAATAACAGTTTATATACGGATTATAAATTTCCCTTTGGAGGCAACGTGCGCCTGGTGGATGGCTACGAAAATTCGCACGACAAGGGGGCCACTGTTGAGGAAGCTCTTTGGCAAAAAAAGGTCCTTTGTGCCGCGGCCAATGGAGAAGAGCAGAAGAGCTGCGGAAGAAACCACGAGGACGACGATGTTGATCCAGAAAAGGTGGTGGGGCCGCCTCGTATTCGCGAGTCTGTTATATGTGTGGGAAGAATCTGTACGAACATTTAAAATTTAAAGCCTTGTACTTATTATATAAATAGAATATCGGTGAAAGATCAGAAAAATTACGGTAAAAGTATTTTTAAATACATTGATCGCTACATGTGTATATATATTATGTGTACTTTTAACAAATTATATTTAAGATATATCTGCTTTTTTTTAATAAAACTGTCAGAGTAATTCCGAGTTTCTTCTTTAATTATTTTCACACATCTAATCGGAGTACAATATGTACCGAGGATTTTGAAAATGATCGAGCTTCTGTCTACGTTTCTGTTCGAATCACGCTATTAATCAACACACATAGAATGCTGTAAATGTATCATGTACGTATTTGTATCTATCAAGATAGAGAGACAGAAAGAAAAAGAGAGAGAGAGAGAGAAAGACGGGAATCTCATCTTACTACGCAACGGCGCTGAGACGAAGGAAGGAGGATGAAGACGAAGGGTAGAAAGAGAGGCTCCGACCTGCGAGGGAGATGTACAAAGGTACAGATGACAAAACCAAAGTGCCGGCGAACCAAATGCTTCAATGCAAGCTGAGCGCTTGTCCGAGACGCATCCGGGCGAAATCGACTTTAGTCGAGAGCGATCGCTCACACGTTTTTCTCGAAGAAGTTTCAGCGCGAAAGAGAGGAGAGGTCCAATCGACGATTTCCTGGTGATAAAAAATATCAAATTGCGGTGTCCGATCGACGCGAAAAATTCGCGCGAATATAATAATTGAGTGGAAATCAATGAGGAAAGATGGCAGGATATGTCAATCTTGGTGCGTCCTTTATTGTCCTCCTCTTGGTGGTCCACCTGGAGCAGCTGATCCTGCACAAACGAGGTATCATTGTTAGTCCAGATAATGATTGATTCACCCAGAAAATTATTGAAGATTAAAAGAAAATTTGATCGATTTCCGCAAAGATATTCGTGAATTATAAGAAAAATACAATTCCTTTTTATTCAAGTTAATTTTGGCTTTTATAATATTTCTCACATACATACACATTTTTGACATAGAGATGATTATTTCTTTACATATAGATACCGCGTAATCTTGAAAAACATTAAATAAAAATAAAAATTAAATAAAATTAAAAACTTATTTTATTTGAAAAATTAAAATTAATTTTAATTTTTCAAATAAAATATTCGACTAAAGCATAAATTAAAATATCCAGAGCAAATCTTTTAAAAAACTATTAAATTCAATTTTGTACCGTCTTTTCTGTGTAGAATCACCGAATTATCGTTGCTGATATTTGCGATCAACTAAAATAATATATTATTGATGTCTTAATATTATATATATATAATATTAAAGAGAGATTACATGGGCACTTACATATACATAAACAAAATTATTCTTAAAAGAGTATTACTTTTGGCGATTTTATATATAATTTCAATTTTTTTCTTTGCAAAAAAAAATTTAAATTTGATTTAATGTTATATGTCTGCGATATACTCATTATAAAATTTATTATTAAGTTCAAACTTGTAGTAGTAGCTTTATATAATATCAAAAAGAATACGCGCGATGCCTATGGTGATATACGTAACACTTTCGTCGATTGATATAAATTAATTTTCACATTATATGATAGATCAGACAGATTGAAGGACAATTGAAAGTGCTATATTGGAGGAGCTCTCTAAGCTCTTCGTAGAAACGATTTACGTATTAGATTGATATATTTTGCAAGATAAATTATACGACTCACATCTATCAGCGAGAAAATGTTGCACGCCGTTTCTCCGAGAAACGAGATTTCGTCGCTGTTATCAGTGTGCAAAGCATATTTTTTCCACGCTAGTTTTCTCAGATAGATATCGATAGATTCATAATTTTCCTTGTACAATTCCCGACAGAATTATCGTATAAAAGAGCATTATATATTTATATTTATGAGAAAATATCATGTTCTTTCATATTTAAATTATTGTATGGAAATAATATATAAATAAAAAATAAATTTTTTACAAACATGACAAAAGGATCGAGAGAATGATAAGCTTAACAAAAGCCAAATAGAAGGTTTGACCTAGTTTGCCACTCTTCTAGAATCAAAGATAAGGCATTCGTTGTTTGAAAAAAAAGGAACATGCAGTTGCGCGTCTCTTTTTTGTCAATTTATAGTTTGATTTTAATATAAAATATTCGATAAAATAATCGATAAATTTTAATTTAATTAATTCCTATAAATGTAAAATATACTAAATTAAAATTAAATTCTCTCAATGGCATACTATTCTTGTCCTTCGCGAGCAAATTTACACACGTCTCGCTTATTCTTTATCGCTCGAAATAGCGGCGGTTGTCGAGGGAAGAATGGAAGCTCAGTTCAAGAAATGTTGCGATCTGGGCACTTCTTGGGCCCAGGAGGGCCTTAGGTGTGAAAAGTTTACCGGGCCGGTGGCCGGAGTGCCGAGGGTGGAGCAAGGTCTTTGCCTGGAAGCCGTAGACATCTGTTGCATTCGAGCCTACCACGAGCTGGAATGCGAGAGGGGAAAAGCCGACGCGCGTCAAGGTCTCGCGTGCGTAACAAGCACGAACGCCAAGTCGAGGACGTCCGGCCGCAGCGATCATCATCGCGACTGTTGCGAGGGCTGCAAGCTAGGTGATTTTTTTTTTTTTTACTAAATCTATAATTTATCTTGTATATGTATATCCTATAAACGTCAAAAAACTCGATGAACTTTTATTTTCGACGGATGTCCTCCTATCAAAACGTCAGGTATCCTCACGGGATCTATGGGTCAAGGATGCTCCTTCAAGAGTTTTTCGTTTGGTATACCATGGGATCCCGCGTTCTTGGAGTGCTGTCGTGAAGCGTCGCCAAGCTCGACGACGGATCTTACGAGCGAATCATCGAGCGAAAGCACCGAAACTGATCTGGATTTCTCGTCGTCCTCGTCATCGCCATCGCCATCATCGCCATCATCATCATTATCGCCATCGTCGCCGTATTCGACGTCGCCATCACCATCATCGTCTTCATCTTCTTCACCAACATCGCCTTCATTCTCACTGTCGGATGATGCATCCGCTACGGCGTCGGAAACCACATTCTCGATACCAACTCCAGGTATAATATGTAACTTATACAAAAAATACTCATCTTACAATTCGTCTGTAGGATATCTCCTTAATTTAAAATAATAAAATAAAAATTGTGAAAAATTTAAATTACTTACAATACTTGAAATATTTGTTTTATCAATAAATGTCAAGTCACGTATTCTGCGGAGCACATGGAAAGAGACATTGTTTGTAACTTTTTTCCCGCAAGCGCAACTTTAAATCGCACGTTCTGATTTTCACAGAGTTGGACGATATCTGTCGTCTCATGAAAGGCATGCTCTGCTCTGACATTTGCGTACCGACGCCGGGCTCGTATTATTGCAAATGCCGTGACGGCTTCACTTTGTTGGAGGACGGGAAGACTTGCAGGCAAGATCTGCCGACTGACAGGTATGCGAAAATAATATAGATCTTTTTTATTATAAAGGAAAGTGGATATAAAATACGGCGCTATCGATCAGATAACATTAAGGACATAAAGGATTGTTATTATAGTTAATTATTGACAATAATATATCGTAAATTTTCCAAAATATTGAAAATTAATTTTATTACCTTAGTCTCTGTTATTAATAATAAAAATATTAATGATGAAATTTTTGCTTTAAGATGCAAATCGACTCACCCCTGCGAACAACGATGCACCGACAATGGGGTGGCTGTTATATGCAGCTGTAATCCAGGATACGATTTGGCTAATGACGGACGTTCGTGTATTCCAAAGTCGCCCAAGGATAATAAGAAACCAGACGCAGACGCAGACGAGGATAATGAATTGTCGCCGTTGTGTCCATCGGGTTATCGTTATAATGCCACTAATCAGGTGTGCGATGGTACGTACATGCAATTTAGGAAAGTATAATCTCTCAGATTCAGGTAAGAGCAAGTGACGTATAACATTCAAAAATCATTATTTTATAACGTGAGTAATAGTTATATAAACGCGTCTCCTTGCCTAATGTCAATGCAATGCTAGCTCAGACTCGTCAATGTATTATATTTTACGTGCGTCACAATACTGTGTCGATTCTGTATCGCTATATGTTTTGCTGAAGCACTGTCATCTCTGTCTTGTACCTCGCTTGTGCGAATTGTGATTGAGAGAATCTATATCTCTCTCTCGATTTTTTTTTTATTTCGACGAGATTAATTGTTCTACCTCAATCGCGCTGCGCTATACTTGTTTCCGCGATCGTGCGATTCGCATGTGATTTTAACTCTCCGTCGACACCGATCCATCCACCAGACGTGGACGAATGTCTGGAGCGCGACGTGTGCCTCGGCGGTAGATGCCAAAACACCATAGGATCGTACGTCTGCATCTCGACGAGATCTGCCAAAAATGCACCCTACGAATCTTGTCCTCCGGGCTACCAATGGGAGCTACGTACAGGTGTATGCGTAGGTAGATATAATTAAAACTGTGTCTCTCTTATTTCGATAAATCTATCGCGCAAATCGAAAGTGAACAAATTAAAAATCAATATCATATTATGTTTTTTTTTGTCAGATATCGACGAGTGCACCGTTTTATCGGACGCTTGTGCCGCTGATAAGCCGTTTTGCGTCAATACGCAAGGTAGTTACACATGTCTGGAGATGACCGGGGTGAAATCTTGCCCCGCGGGATTCAAGTTTGACAGATCGTTGCAGCAATGCAGAGGTAATATCGCATGCATTGCCATCAGATAATAAATTTTAATTGGCAAAGTAATATTAATAATTTTCCTCGGAATTTTCTCTCTTCGTATCTCTTCTCACTTATCTTGTTAATCAGATGTGGACGAGTGCGTGGAGGCTATTCACAGCTGTCTGGCAGATGTTGAGCAATGTCGAAACACCGAGGGTGCTTACGAGTGTGACATAAAGTGCGAGGAAGGATTCACGTACAGTATCGGGTTGGGTGTTTGTGTCGGTAAGCGTTTATTCTCTATCGATGATATTCATTGAATTCTCTTTGCATGTATGTATGTACTCGACACGATCGTCGTTTCTTGACAAAGTGAACTTTTGAATTTAACTCTCGATCCCCTCCTACTAGGCAGGCATGTAAGAGCATCTCTGACCTGCATTTTTTTTCATCATAAAAGATTGATCGAGTACTCGTGAACAGTATCGTTCGATTAACTTGAAAGTGAATCTGATTGAATTTGATTCGCATCCACGGTGATCTCATTCCGCATGCAACTCCGCCTCATCCTCGTATCTCCTTTATGCATGTGAGTAATGAATTAACTTTAATGCTTCTGGTGATTAATATGGGATTAATTAATGTACGATAAAAAAATTATACAGTTGTACATACAATTGTTAAATTAATTTTATTTCAAAAATCTAAACTCGCAGTTACTTACGATAACGCAAGATCTTTTTGTTTCACGCATTTTCGGGTTTTCTTTTTAAAACTAAAACGAATTTTTTTTTAAATATATGTTACAACCTGCGTTTACGTACCTCTTGATTTTCTTTTAGACGTAGACGAGTGCATCGAGTCGAACAATCCTTGTCCCGATACCAACACGATATGCGTTAATACAGAGGGTGCGTATAAGTGTATGAAATCTCTCTCTTTGGCGAATCTACTTCCGCTTCCGCCAATCGAGAAAAATCTCACAAAGGATCTTGCCACTCGCCAAAAGGACATGCGACGGACTTGTTCCGCAGGGTATAAACCAGCAAACGACTCCGGAATGACATGCATCGACGTCGACGAGTGCAATGAACAATTGCACTCTTGCGAGCAGGACGAGCGTTGCGTTAACGAGCTCGGTAGTTACAGGTGTGAAAATATCGCGATATTTGCTAGAAAAATCAAAACAAAGAATCTTATCAGTTTATACTAATTTAAAAAAAAAATAGATGCGTACCAGTTGAAAATAGCAAGAATACATCCACTATGGAAAGCGACAATCAACGCGATGATCGACGTAGCCAGGGATACAAGTCGGAAGGAACGAGCGTTGTATCGCCGGTCGTGAACGAGATTGAAAACTGCAACAGCGGCTACTTTTTTGATGGAAAATCTCGCCGCTGCATCGGTGATTATTTTTTATTTCGAGTAATATTTTTGGATTTTGCGTTGTAATATCTTTCAATTTCGTGTTGAAAGTCATAAATTTATCGTAGTAAAAGAAGATAAGACGGTAATTTATTGTAGACGTCGACGAATGCGTCAACGGGATAGCGGCATGTGGAATAGGCGAGCGTTGCATCAACACTCAGGGCGGTTACCGATGTTCTCCGGCTTGTCCATCCGGTTTCCGGGCGCGCAACGATTCCCGATTCTCCGTCGATGAGGTCGAAAAATCTTGCGAGGACGTGGACGAATGCACGCTCGGCCTGCACACCTGCAACACGTTGACTCATTATTGCCTTAATACTAACGGCTCCTACGTTTGCGAAGCGTTCACCACTACTACCACCACCACCACTACTACTACTACCAAGCCTACCACGGCCGATAGCACAATAGCAAGGAGACCGTACATCGGTTTACGCAACAAAAAAATACACGTGTCCAGAAGTAGTCCCGTGAGCAACATATTTGTTCATCTGGCGAACGTAAATTTCTTAAAATTGTCAATTTAATTAATGTAACTCGTATTTATGTTTCAGAGCAAAGATCGTTATTGGTCCACGGAACCGTGTAGACTGGGATACAAAAGAGACGCGAACACGGGCTATTGCGTGGACATAGACGAATGTGCGGTTGGTCCAGGATGTCGTGATCACGAGAGATGCACGAATACGCCAGGAGGTTACGATTGCTCGCCCCTCTGCAGCGCCGGCTGGTATTTTAGCACGACGACGAGGGGCTGTCAGGACGTGGACGAATGTCTGTTAGGTCGGCACGATTGTCCTCAGAGTACGCACAGGTGTGCAGTCTTTAATTATACAGAATGTATTTCGCAGAGACTGCTACTGTTTCTACGATAATTAATTCTTTTTCTCGTTTACACTAATTTTTTAAATATTCCTCTTTGTAATAATTAATATCAGAATTTACAAATACCTATGTTTATAATTTTCGCAGATGCATCAACACCAACGGATCCTTCGTCTGTGAATTGATTCCGCCCTGCAGCCGCGGCTTCAGACGAGCCTTCAATGGCACCTGTTTGGACGTCGACGAGTGCTCCGAGAATTTGCACAACTGTCGGCTTGATTTGCATCAATATTGCATTAACAAAGAAGGCGGCTTCGAGTGTTTAACCAGGCTGCCCTCCTGCCCGTCCGGATACCAATATTCTTTGGGCACTCGACAATGCGAGGACGTCGACGAATGCTTGACCGGGCAATACAATTGTGATGCAAAGTTCTCCGAGAGATGTGTCAATCTGCCGGGTTCATACAGGTGCGTGAAATCTCGATTAGTTGACTGAAAATGCGGGTATTTTATCGACAAGTAAAATAATTTTAAAAGTATAAAAATATATATAAGCTATTAACTTTTTTAAAAAATATATGATATCGTTTTGCAGGTGCGAAAGATCTCCTCCTCCTCGTCAACGTCAACGGCCTGCTTGTCCTTCCGGCTATCGGTATCACACTCGCTTTCGCATGTGCACAGGTACACATCTAATAGTTTTTCAGAAAATTATATAATTTATAAATCTGTTTATAAATTGTAAAAATATTCAAAATTTCTATTTTTTTGACTGTTATATATATTTTGAACAATTATTTTTCTAATATATATTTTTTTCAATTATAACATAATATTATATAGAATTTGTAGAGCTCCCATATTAACAACAACTTCAGATATTTCTTATATTTTCAGAACTCGGCAAAACAATATCAAACCTTCTCAGGTTGCACTGCAGCATGTTCAAAAAAAAATTTCTCTAGGAAATGCATGGGTGAATTATGTTGTTGTCAATTTTTGAATATATGTATGATTATAATATGTATTGATTATAATTAACAATTGTCTGTGCATAAATACCGTATGACTAACAGAATTGTTTTATGTTTTGCCTTGTTTTACGCTATTCCTATTATTTTCAACTATGCTTTTTATCAAAGCTATATAACTTGAAAACATAATAATATTTATTTTGCGAGCAAATATATAATGTGCTTTATTATTCAATCTTAATTTTGAAAGAATCTGTCTTGATAATACTTTAGTTAAAATAGCCTGTTGTAACTAAGCAAAAAATGTTTTCAAACTTTGGACATCTGATAAGTGTTATATGTTTGGCATCGTAGATGTGGATGAGTGCGCAGAGGGACTGGACTCGTGTGGCGACGAAATCTGCTACAACCAACCGGGTGGTTACAGCTGCGCGAAGCCGCCTGTCCCTATCACCAGGAAACCGACCACGACTGCGATGCCGGCGCCGGCGAACCAAAAATGTATGGACGGCACCAAGTTCGTGAGAAACCGCGGCTGCGTCGACATCAACGAGTGCAGGGAACTCGAGGATGCTTGCAGTAGCAACGAAGAATGCGTCAACACCATGGGCAGCTACGTATGCACCTGCAAGACCGGTTTCAGGCGTGATAATCTCACGCAGGCTTGTGTCGATATTAACGAGTGTCAATTGCAGGTAACAATGATTTTAAATGTAAACATAGTAATGTCTTTTTTATCCGGAAGAAGATAAATTAGAGAATCGCATTATATCCCTTTCACCGATTCTAACATTTTTCTATCTCGAAGGAAAACGACTGTCTGCCGACGCAGCGATGCGACAACACGATCGGCAGTTACACGTGCACGCGTTTCCTGCCGTGTGGCACCGGCTATACCTTGAACGCCGCAACCGAGATCTGCGAAGATGACGACGAATGCGTTCTTGGTACCCACGATTGCGGACCTGGTTATCAATGCAGGAACACCCTGGGCTCGTATCGCTGCGATCGTATTCCGCGTATATCGACTCCGCAAGCACGCATACCGACTCCGCAGGCACGTACATCGCCGATGACGACGGCGCGGATCACTTCAACGACGACGCCAAACACGACTGGTCCTTGGACGAATTGTCCGCGCGGCTTCGAGTCCGGCTCAGGTGGCAAGTGTATGGATATAGATGAGTGCCAGATAACGCCGAATCCTTGCGGCAGATCTATGCAAATGTGCATCAACACTCTGGGATCCTATAGGTATGCAGCGATCGAAAATTATGTTAGTAATTAGAGTAAATGGATTAAAAACGCGAGAGGAAATTTTACAGATGCGCGTCCAGAGTAATTTGCGGACCCGGTTATACCCTGGACCCCGTGTCTGGACAATATTGCGTCGATGTGGACGAGTGTCGGGAGGAAACGCACGAGTGCGGCAAAGGACAAACCTGCGAGAACAGACAGGGCGGATATCACTGCATCTGTCCGTCCGGTCACGCGTCCGGGCCCAACAACGACTGCGTCGACATCGATGAGTGTAGCATTTACGGTAGCGGAATTTGCGGATCAAATAGTCGCTGTGAAAATACCGTTGGCTCTTACAAGTGCTTATGCGACAAGGGCTTTGAGAACGTCGGGGGTGCCGCTGGTGCTTGCCAAGTGAGGGTAATAACAACTCTTGTACCAAATTTGTAGCCTTTTTGCTGACAATAATTTGTAGCAAGCACTTGGCAATATCTGTTAGAACAGATGTGGCTGACTGGGTTTATTATCGATATAATATAATCCCAATCCTGTCGTTGTTATCAGATTTTAGATATTAGCTGAAGCAGAAATGAAACATGAAATCTTGCGAAAGAACAAAATACTCACGAATGCAAACTAATTTTCAATTATGCTTTGCGAATAAAGATCCCTTTTTTATATCTGTCACAGTTATAAATCACACGTTTTTAGAATAAAATTATATGACATATAGATATGTTATAATATAAAAATTACTTACACAACATTTTTTTTATTACGGTTGACATTTATAGGATATCGACGAGTGTGAGCGAACGGCAGGGCTCTGTCAGCACGTGTGCATGAATGTTTGGGGCAGCTATAGATGTGAAATCTTGCGAAAGAACAAAATACTCACGAATGCAAACTAATTTTCAATTATGCTTTGCGAATAAAGATCCCTTTTTTATATCTGTCACAGTTATAAATCACACGTTTTTAGAATAAAATTATATGACATATAGATATGTTATAATATAAAAATTACTTACATAACATTTTTTAAATTACGGTTGACATTTATAGGATATCGACGAGTGTGAGCGAACAGCAGGGCTCTGTCAGCACGTGTGCATGAATGTTTGGGGCAGCTATAGATGCGGATGCGAAGCCGGATTCAGATTAAATGCCGACAATCGAACCTGCAACGACATTGACGAGTGCACGGAATTCAAGGACGACAATCTCTGCATCGGCATCTGCGAGAACACGCCGGGTAGTTACGCGTGCAAGTGTCCCGATGGATATAGACTCGGCATCGACGGTCGAGCTTGTCAAGGTAATAATCTCTTTCCTCTTTGTGTAATTTATAAAAAAAATAGTAGAAAAAATGTAATTAATTATAAAGATACTGAAGATGAATGATATGTATGAGAAGAAGAAAGGGAAACGGAAGGTATAAATAATTTGTATAGTAATTATGTGGTAATTGGGGGATGGAAAGTGAGAGTCTCCGCTTACACGTGAGTCACGGTGTTGTAGCTTCGCGAGCGTATGCGTTCCACCTACACACTTATCCCGTAGTTAAGCGAAGCGGTGCAATTTGTACTTGACCCGATTTGCGAGGCGAACTGGGGCATCGCTTAGGGTCACCGGCGAGCACGAACGCGCGCTCCTCGCAATCTTCTCAATCTCGCGTAATCACGACATTCACGTCGGTGCGGTCACGATTTCGCCACGTGCCGACGTAAATCTAATTGTCTTTCAACGTGTGTGTTTGCAGATATTGACGAGTGCGCGACCGGTCAGGTCTGCAAGGGACCGGATGAGATGTGCCAGAATACCCGCGGTAGCTACCGTTGCAATCGAATAAACTGTCCCTCGGGATATCAGCGGGACACTACGAGGAAAAAGTATAATAATTTTTATATTGGAAATAATAAAGATTCAGGAAGCAATGTGCAAGTTTCTAATTTGCACAACTCTACTTGTCTTTATATTTTGATTATTGCAAATTATTTACTTTTGCTTTCGGTATCTTTCGATATCGCGATTATTTGCTCTCCAATATGATGCAGATAATCGATAAATGATTTCGCTAATTATTTGATAATAATAAAGTCACGCAAGTACCAACCAATTTGCAATTTCAGCCGCTGCGTACGCTCCTCAAGATATTGCCGTGTAAATGACCTGGCTTGCCTTCGGTCACCCTCGCATTATTCCTACAACTTCATCACCTTCGTGAGCATGCTGCCCCTTCCGCCGACCGGTCGACTGGAACTATTCACCATGAGAGGAAGCTATCAGCCCGATTCGACGGTACAATTCACCATGGCGTTGGTGGACGTGCGCGCACCACCAGGTATCACGCGCGCCACAGAGTCCTGTTTCTCCTTGAAGAGACCGGCGCCGTCTCAGGCGGTCCTGGTGCTGACGCGCAGCATCCCGGGACCACAGGAGATCGAGCTGGATCTCAGTATGGAGATCTATCACAATGCCGTGTTCATGGGGAGCGCCGTCGCCAAGATCTTCATCTTAGTCTCGCAATACGAATTCTGAGGAAGGATTCTTTGAATAAAGGTAAGATTAGTGGAAAGAGTACAGATTAGTAGAGAGATGGAAGATGATTGTAGAATAAAATGATGTAATTCAGTAGTACAATAATTGATTTTTTATTACTTCTTCTATTATACTTGAGAGAGAAATTAAAAGGAACAAAAATGTTATTTTATCAGATTATATCATCTTATTCTACACGACAATTTCTTGGAAGATACGGAATCTCTTCTTTCTAATTTTAAAGATTGTGAAGATCAAACATGCACAGGTTTTATCTTATTAAAGAATATAAATATTTTTCTTCCAGGAAATATAACAACTTAACATTTCAAACGATATATATATTTAAGCACTTAATGTACGAATTTTTTATTGTTTGCTCGTTTTTAGAGAAGAAAAAGAAACATTAAAATAAATATCTCGTACTAGTATTTCAATAGTAGATGTGTATAAAAAAACAAATTAAATGTACATATAAATTCTTGTAAGTTACATGTAAGGGACTTGGAATAAACTTACGTTAGATGTAGCATATGAAATTTCCAAGAACACATTTTGATGCTTTATCAAAATCGTAGCTTTATTAAATGTTTCACTAGCAAGATTCTTTTTCCTCTAACTTAGACAATTTGCTGTTGCGTAAAGTCCGAAACAACGGCTATTGCTTCGAATCAAATGCTTCGTTTCTCCTTTTCACAGAGGAGGAATAAAGCAACAACTCTGAGATCCTTAGTGTTAATTGCCGCTTAGTTGCATGAGACGCGTGTAACGCGCGTGTAATGCGATGTAAAAAAAACACCTTGATAAAAAATAAAATATTATAATATCACTGCGCTCTTTACATGTGACGACAACAATCGTCGTCGTATTGAATGCAAATAACAAACTCACCTGCGATGCAGCGGATTGCTATTATTACTAGTAAATAATTAATAATTGTGCTAAAGATAAAATTTCGGCTGTCGTTATCGTGACGCATAATACCGTCGATAGCGAACAATAGCGCGATATCATAATATAATCGTTAATAAAATAATATTTATATTTATATAATAATAATATAATAACAATGATAATCTAAGTAGCTAGTAATAACGCTATAATAATGCTATATTAATATATATATATGATAACAAGAAGTAAAACAATTCAGGCGGGACGCTTTGCGTACACCACACCGGAAAAATGCATATGATAAGATATCGATCTCATCGCTCGGAAATTTCTTCGACATCGCGCGCGTGGGCGATACGAAGAGACGTGATACAATGTTATTTGGAAATTTCATCGACGGTATATATGCCTGGGAGTGTCACTGATACAACGATTAATAATAATTAATTTGTGTAGCGGTTTCACGTAAGTGTATTCTCCTAATTAATTCGAGATGCATTTTAATGCGGTAAGAAGATTAAGTATCAACGTCCGCGAAGACAAATTCCAAAGCTGGACGCAGCCCGTCTGTTCAAGAAGGCACACCCCACGAGAAACTTTCACAAACTTCTATCTATCAGCGACAATAAACTTTCAACAAGCGTACGCGCAAATAATATATAAATAGCGTGTATTAACTATTAAACAGCCTGGATGCAGCAGCAACGCGTTACCACGGTGTAACAACGATGGCAGTGACACTTGTCGCTCGTCTTAAAACTAGAAAAGTGGAAAAAGGAGCGTGACTAGGATTTGCTAAGAATTTTCCGAGGCTTTTCGTACCCTCGCACCGAATAACACATACATGTACACACATACACATACACACACAGCAAGATGTATTTTGTGTTGGTCTTAAGTACCCGATGACAAACCGTATCAAAAGATACGCATAGGAGATTTCTTCTTATTACACAACATACGATAACACTGTACGAAATTAGGATTCGATTTCAAATTCATGAAAAAAAAAATCTGCCTTTAAAAGATAACGCAATAGAGACACACCCTATACACCTATTTAGCTACTGTTGGACTTTGCTAATCTTGTTGACAATCCTCTCTCTAGTTCTCTTTCAACTTTTGCAATGCACACACACAATTATCGCACGTCAGATCTATAACGATTGCGAAAATTATTTTTCAAACAACCCGATAATCCAAAATATGTCTCGAGAGATTAAAAAAAAAAAAAAAAAAAAAAAAAAAAGGCGCGAAAATTTT